AGTTATAAACTTTGAGTACAGTTTATGTATAATATATACAGAGTGTGCGCAAATTATGGTGAAAAGTACTAACTGCAAAGGGATTTGCCGTTTGCGAAGATGGGATCTCATAAACCGTAGGACAAACTAAGTCGGTTAAATCTGCACAAATTTTCCCATTTGAATGCTGAAGCAAATGGTGTTTTAAACTACCGAAAATTCTGATTGCGTCCAGAAATATTCGGAAAAAAATCTAATTTGCTTGATCGATTTTAATTGTTTCTGAACTCATTCGAAAAGGTATTTTGAAATAATTGTCACATTTTTAGAAGCTCTTTTTATTCTCTATAAGATTATATTATCAGATCTGGAATTATATATTTAATTTTTTTTTGAAATGTTTCTAATTCGAAAAGTATATTATATAGTCATACATTCATTTTCATTGAAAAAAATTAATAGCTGGCAAGAAGAAGGTGGAAAATGTTGTTGATATTGAAGAAAAAATAAAATTTAAACACGAAAACACTGGAAATGGTGAAATGGAGTTTATAGGTTGAAACCGGTTTTTTGCAATTTGCGGCGAAACATGACCACCTAGCAGAAAATGTTCAAAGGCCGACTTGTGGGTAATACAAAAACATATTTTTCAGTATTTTTTTTCTCGCGCATAAAATACTTGATTTACATAAAAATTTGTAAAAGTATGTGCTGACTAGTTTTAGAGTTACGTACATTTTTGAAAAAAAACTACCCTTATCTTCCTCGATCAATTGTCGTGATTTTTTTTGTATTTCCAAAATGCATTACCGGTCATTTTAATCGCCGTAATGCCTACTTTAAAACGGTCCATGTGACTTAGTTGTCCATTCATCGCTAAACCGCTGAAAATTGCGAAAAATTGAAGTCTCTCTGAATCATGATTTGTTCAATATTTTCAACGATTTTCGAATTTTTTTCATTATTTCTATTAATAGTGGGCTATATTTACATAATAAGTTGCATTCATAGAAGATTATTAGAGTGGAAAGAATTTAATGACAGTATGGAATATAACTATGATTAGAAATCTATTTGAAATCCGCTATTATGACCACTTATGGATATTCGAAATTCAGAAAAATTTCAAGACTATGTTCGTGGAAGAAAGGGACGTTTTTTCGAAAATGTGCATAACTCGTAAACTCGTCGAAAAAAACACTTCGTATTCTGAACTACGAAAAAATCATGCTTAATCAACACCAAAAAAACATCATTTTGCAGATCTTTATGTTAATGAAATTATTCATGGGCGAGAACAAAATCAACGATTTAAAAATTGTTTGTTTGCATTTTCTGGTTAATTTGAAGCTAAACTACTTCACTGAAACACTGCTTTCTAATTTCCGGACATCCGGTATATCTGATACAGTTGCTCTCAATAAAATCACTAGGATATAAATCAAGCGACCAAACTGAACGCTCGGGAAGTTTGCAAAGCTTCAAAATTAATACATTTAATGAAATATTTAAGTTTACTGCGCAAAAATCCCATTGCTTATCAGTAAAGCTTATATACAGGGTTGCTCATTAGTGCGTCAAAGTGCGATATCTCAGTAAATATAAAGTTTACAAGAAAATTCGTCCTACGAAAGTTTTTCATGTTTAAAAGGTCCACATTTTAAAATTACTTTCCAATATACGGGGTGTATCATAAACGTGTGGTAGTTACCAACT